TTTTACCAGTAAAGCGCCGTTCACACATCAATTTCAAAATACCGTAAATTCTGTGACATCATTATTGGAAATGACCTCTAAACAGCTGCGCCCCTTGGTGTTGTGTTTGTAAACATGGAGGGGTATATGCAGTCAGTGTTTTTGTTGATGTTTTTATTTTTATCAAATGTTCACATTCATGCATCGTATTAGATGACTTCAAACCGAACTACACAGCGCAGAGTAAATCTGCATCTTACTGTCTCTGCATCCTCTGCATCAGAATGTTATGATTGGCCCAGAGTAGATGTCTAACGTCAGCGGGTTCTGAATTCGTACATGCTCATACCGGCAATCCTGTTCTGCGTTCACACAGAACACATTACAAGTAATTTACTTGTAATGTTACAACTTCTCATATTGGTCAATTGGTTCCGGCATTCGTTCGGTATTTTTGAAAAGGTCCTGTTCATACATTATCGCTTAATGGTAATTTACCAGTAAAGACTGCATTTGTGAAAGGAGCTAATGTTGCAAAGTTCATTCATTTTGACATAATAATCCAGCTCAATTCATTTAAAAAAAATCACTTTTTTGAACTCATCTGATTGTGTCAGAACTAGATAGTCAGATAGCAGTCAAACTGATCATATTTCTGACATTTTTTCATCCTCACTGCAGTAAACTTGAAGTGGATCATCTATATATGTCATACGCTGATATAATGGCAAAAGTAAGTCATGAATCTAACTTTTAAGACTTTTATGTCTTTGTTTAAAGATGTAATGCGAGCTAACCTTACGTATCTCTCTGTTCAGAGCTGCCACATTGGTGAGGAGGACGAAGTGGGAGAGGAGGGGGGCGAGGAGCCATCCTTTGAGGTGCGACAGACAGAGATGGTATGGGGGGGCCTGGGGCTGGGGCCATGGGAGTCAGCGGAGCCAGCAGCTACAGCTACAGCTCCTGCCACGCACTGAGTGAACACGTCCAGAACCACTGCACCCCGCACACTTGATGTCTCTCACTGTGCCTCTCATCCTTTCAGCTCTCCTCTGTCTCTCTTTCTCTTTTCTCTTTATACCTGTTGTGGACTGATCTGTGCACTCCTTTGCTGGATTCTGAGTCTTTGTCTGTTTAACAGTTTATCTTTGTGTTTATTGCATGACTTGAGCGAGTGCAGAGAGACGGCTGCACACAAAACAGATGGAGAAAAAAAAAAA